GTATCCTGATGAAAAATGTTTTGTTGAAATCAGAGACACTTCCCAAGGTAGGCCATAGTCCATGGCCATATATTTAAGTCAAAACAGATGAAACAGATAAACACAATTCCAATCATCAAGTCAACCAGCATCGACAATCTGCACATAAGTTCTAAACCTATTGTAAGACTACATTGTATTCAAACTTTGTATTGCAGAAGGGTGGAAGCTGCATGGAATTATGCGACAATTTCAGCGTGCATCCACGCTCGAAAGAGCAGGGTTAATTGTAACAATGTCAATACCATAACAATAACGTAATTGTAGGTGTTGTGATTCGGTTGTCTCTTGTCTGTGCTGGCCATTGCGCGGGCGGTCCAGCGGCGGAACTCGGCTTCGCCGCCGTGGCGCGCTGGCAGTTGCTTCTTCTTCTTCTTCTGCATCCCATCGCCAACTCGCTCAGGGGGGCGGCGGCGCAGGCGGGTCGAGCGGCGGCTCGGTCCGCCCAACATCCTCGATGAAGGTGACGACCTTCGTCGCCGGGCCGCCGAGGACGTCGACCAGGCGAGGGTCGACACCCCAGCGGCGGCGGCGGGCCGCCTCATAGGCCGGACAATCGGTCAGTAGGTGCGCCGCGCTGTCGGGCTCCCCGCACGCGGGGCATTCGTCGTCGGCTTCCGGGCCAATCTTGTGGAGCGTGTCACGGGTCAGCGGTGATGTGCCGGTCCTCAGCTGGGACAGCGTCACCGACCCCAGCGCGCCAGGGAGTCGTGGCCAGGCGTGGGGTCCGGGTGCGGGTGGGCAGCAGTTGCCCTCTGTCGCGACAGCTCTCGGACATGGCGCGTGACGGCGGCCCGCGCACTCGACAGGTCGATCGGTGCGCTGTCTTGGTCGCCCGCCGTGGCCTCGCCAGCCAGGCGGTCGGCGGTTTCGTTGCCGTCCAGCCCGGCATGGCCTGGCACCCACTGGAGCACCGTCTCGGTGCCGTTCTCGGCGAGGGTGCTCAGCACTCAGCAGCCTCCACACCTCGGCGGCCAGGGCCATGGTCTGGTTAGCTGGGCCGCGGCCGAGTAGTTGGAGCCCAGACCTTGAGTCGGTGAGGAGGCGGACCGACTTGGTCGATGCCAACTCCCCGTCCCCCAGGCCGGCCACAGCCGCGAACGCCTCGCGCATGGCGGTCAGTTCTGCTCTTAGGCTGGAGCAGACCGCCCCTGCAGGAGCGCGCACGGTCCCTTCTCTGTTGAGGTGGTGGAACTGGATCAGCGCCTGCGCCGCCCTGTTCCGTCCGCCGCGAGCCGAGCCGTCCGACCAGATAGTGACGTCCGGGTGCGGGAGCTCTGCAATGGCTCGCAGGGCAGCTTCCCTGCGGACTGCAGGCGGGTCCGACCGGCAGGTGGCCACGGGCAGGTCCACCCTGAAGGTGATGCCGCCGCGGTGGCCCAGCCATGGCGGGTCGCAGCTGTAGAACGCCGAACCTGTAACACAATAGAATTGCAATTGTAACAAAGACCTGCATGGTCAGCACACATCTGCAGTGACTGTCATCCCAAGTTGGTATGAATTGGCACAAAGTTGGGTCATGGTAGCAGACGTAGCACAAGCTGTTGTGATATGTCATACCGTAGGACTAGGTCGTAGGTTGTAAATTTTAGGTTTAAGGCTGTATGTTGTAGGTCAGGTCAGGTAAGGTTTGGTTAGAAAGACCCATTCTCGTGCATCGGGCAGCTTGTGCTACATCTACCTTACCAATACCCAATTTGGATTCCCAAAATTGATGGCAAACAGGCTTTTTGTATAACAAGTGTGGTTAATTGTTCTAATCCCCGCTGCAATGTGAGGGTAACTGCTTTTCTACAATCACAAAATTTGAATTCATATAGGTAGGTGTTTACATGTTGATGTTCAGAAAATGATACAAAATATGACACAATTATAGCTGCAACTGGATAGTGGATACCAACCTCAACTAAAAGTTTCTGCAGCCTTATAACCTAACAAATGACTAAATTGCCAAAATAAATCCCTTAGTACAATAGCTTGACTCTAAAATAACAGAAATTTAGCATGCAGACCCTGAAATGGAGGGTTTATGAAAAGCAACAAAAATAAACATTCACTAATGTCAATATGTTGTTATAAATTTCATATGTAGCATAAGCGCCAATACTGCCTTCATTTACAATGTTGCTACTGTTTTCCACTCACAAACGCTGCCCTCCGTGGACAGCAGCAGCAGCAATGAAACGTCACCCGTGGTGTGACATCATCACCCATGACGTAATGGAAATCCAGTTGTTACCAAGGCCCATTTTTTACGTCCACGAGGCGTTGCACAGTTGGCATTACTTTGCTTCATCCATCTCATTCTTGCGTGAAATCTTTGAGCTCAATTTAAGGCAAAATCACCAGTTCCATTTACCGTCTCACGGTGTGCCCACCGGTCGGGCCGCTGCACCATGACGACGGATCGGTGTAGCATAGGTATACTGGAAGGTCAGGCCAGGGGCGGATCCAGAAAATCTCCAAGGGAGGGGCCATTAGAAACCAGGAGGCCCCCATAATCCCACCTGTTGGAGGCCCCATCTTCCCACTTGTTGGGCCCCCCCCCCAAAAAAAAACTGCGTCTATTGAGCTTATCTAGCTGTTCAGGCAACATCTCAACATGAATAGCCACTTTATTTTCAGGAGGCCCCCTTTTCAGCTTTTTAACTTTTTATTTTATTTTTGAAAAAAATCGGCCAAGGGGGGGGGCATGGCCCCATGCCCCCCCCCCCCCCCTTGTATCCGCGCCTGGGTCAGGCACGCGGATTCATGACCTTACCACTATAAAACAATTCAGAAAAGTACAGATACCTCTTGCTAAAAAGTACAGATACCTCTTGCTTTGAACAAGCATGTGAAACCCAGAGAGCATTTTTAGACTATGACATTTACCCATATAGGTACCTAAGTTGTGTGGCGGCGGGAGAGTAGGTACACCGACCTCTGTTGACCCCCACAGGTTCCGAGCTTTCAGAATTGGCATCTGAGGGCCGCGCGCGACTCCTGCGGGGCTTCGCAACGGCTCTGTTGGGGCTCACTCAACCTGCCTAGTCCTACTGCTAAAAAGACTAGCCCTGAGCCCTAAGGACTTCATCAGTCTCTGCCAGCCCCAGGACCCACACCGGCTCATGAGGTCCCGACGTCGAAATATGAGGGAATCAGCGCGGGACCATCAGGACGTAAAGCAATCTCGATCAGGACCAACGTAAGGCTGTGCCGGAGACTGCGTGAGCCCTCTGATCTTCAGAAACCCACCCATGTATGTTTTCATGTAGAGGCCAGTTTAGGGCCCTCAGAGACCAGTACAGGGCCTGCAAACTACAAAGGCCAGTAGTTTGAGACCATCAGAGACCAAGTTGGGCTCTCAGAGGCTAATGTGGGTCCTTACTCATTACAGGCCAACATGGGCCCTCAGAGGTCAGCGTGGGGCCCTAAAAGACCGGCATGAGTCGTCGTTAGACCCCAGAGGCCAGCAGAGGGCCCTCAAAGGCCAAGATGGGCCCTCCTCAGAGGCCAATGCAGACCCTTAGAGGCCCGCATTCAGCAGCCAGTGCGGGGCCCTCATTGGCACCTAAAGGTTCGTCTTGGGACACCAGAGACAGAAATAAGGCCACCAGAGACCGGTGTGAGACCCTCAGACGCCGGTTGGGACCCCTGAGGCCGGTTAGAGGCCCTCATAGGCCAGATGTGGGACCTCAGAGGTTGATGTAGGCTCTTAGCGGTCAACGTGGGCGCTTGACCGCCACTGAAGTTCCCTCAGAGGTCAGTGTAGGACGCTCAAAGACGGGTGTGGGAGCTATATTAATAGCTTGGCGTGTTTTTTTTTTTTAGCCTCGTGACGATCGAATAATCGCCAGGGCCCCATACACCTATATGGGGGCCCATTGGTTGTTTGAGGGGGGTTAAATGATATGATGGCCCCCTTTATTGACCTTTGGGGGCATGGCCCTGATGCCCCCCCCCCCCCCCCGGCCCTCGCGAGTCGCGACCGCCACTGTGTACACATTACACACATGCCTCTGAGATTACGTACTAGCTCATGCAAACTCTATGCAGGCCCCGAAGGTCCCACGCTAATCCTTAGAAACCAAGCCGGCATACGGCACCACCACCGGGCTTCTGAGGTGCACAGCACCAACCCATGAGGTCTTACTCTTACTTTAGTGTCTTGGAGCCAATCTCCTTTAGCAGGGCCCCACCCGCCACTGCCGAAGAGGGTCTCATGCCAGCCATTGCTGAATGCTGGGCCTACGAGAGCCTTAAGTAAACCCACGCTGATATTCCATATAAGATCCGGCCATACTCGTGAACCGTTGCCAGCGACGCTGACCGCCAAATTGACAGAATGCGAAACTGAGCCCACTCATGAGTGAAATTTACGTCCTTTGATGGCGCAAGAAAGAAAATGAAACATACGAAAAGCTTTTCTAGGACTTTTGTTCGATCTGAAAGGTGGGGCCAAAAGATAGTATGGCCCCACCTTTCAGCACCGAAGGGGGGGCCATGGCCCCCGTGGCCCCCCCCCTGCGACCGCCAGTGAACCCTGGATCCTAGATGTGCCAGCCAAGGGAATCTTCACTTGTGGTTTGCAGAGCTTAGAATGCTGGAACTTAGTATCTTCCATTAGGTATAACATGCATGTATGCACAAAGTTTGTAGCTTTTCACAGAGAAGCTCAACAACAAATGAATACAGTGCAGAAAAGGCCAATAAAATATGTAGGTAGTGTGCTAAATGCCAATGGTGTTGATAAGATCTCCTCAGATATGTTAAAAAGCATTATTTTTAAAGTGAAAATTTACACTTCACATGCTCAAGTCTTAACTTTCCCTGCCAACCAATCATTCAAATGTCACCATTTTATAAAATGTTGGTATCCTAAATCTGCCCTAATACAGTGTTGACACGCTGGCAGGGATACTATTGATATCCACCCATGCTCTAGGGATGCCGCTGATTTTGATGGTAACTCTTCACAGATCGAGATGAGTGAAAACGGGTCAAATTCATCAGACCGATCTGGCACCAAAAGGAAACTAGAAGATCATCATCTATTCAGCAGGTTTGTTCACTGATGAATGCTGCTCGATGTGTTGAAGCTTTGACTTATAGCTGCTTTGCTTTGTTCAGCCTGCAGCCTTGCCTTAAACGTACATTTTAGGAGAAACTATCGAAACTATCGTAGTCGTTGATCTACCGTAAATCCGGTCAGGCATGTGCTAGCACGTTGCTGAAAACGTTCCTGTTTGGATGGTTTACTTCGTACGCACTCCCTGCAGATCCTACGTAGTGCCTACGAGTTTTCAATTTTCTTCTGTGTACCTATTCTGCTGGCGACTTATTTAGTGATATCGCGTGTGACCCGATGTAAAAACCGTTAACGATGACTTTGCTGACCTGATGTTGGCCCGTCAGGGATGACGTGTCTGACCCAATGCCGTCTGTATCCACAGAGAGAGTGACGATGACGACGACAACCTCTCGATCGGCAGCAGCAGCAAGTACTCGCGCATGTCCTCCGATTCCGGAGGCAGCTCGTCGAAAAAGTAGGCAGCCATGCTCTTTCCTCAGTCGGGCATTGCTGGAGGCTGGCAGAGCTCACATACTGTCTGGCGTGCATTGAGTGTTCCTTGAAGGTTACTGTTGATTTCTTATTGCCTTTGAACTGGCCTTTGATATCGTTAGTGGGTTACATTGTCTCCGAAAATTGGCAAATTTGGATAAAATTGGCCTAGCACATGCAAGGAAATGTCGCGCGATGCGGACTAGATTGCCAAATATCTTGACTCATAAGCTTTGCGCTTTTTTGGATGAATGAGTCACTGCAGTTCAAACATAATGTAACGTATTAAAAATGAATCCCTTCACAGTTTTCCATTCACACTCCAAACACCTTGCACCACAGACAAAACCACAGCGAGATTGAGAAACGTCGCCGCGACAAGATGAACTGCTACATCTCGGAGCTGTCTCAGCTGATCCCCATGTGCCAGTCAAGGAAGCTGGACAAGCTGACCGTGCTGCGGATGACGGTGCAGCACATGAAGATGCTGCGTAACTCCACGCCGTCGGCGGTCGAGGGCCAGTGCAAGCCCGCCTTCGTCACCGACCAGGACATGAAGAGTCTGATACTGCAGGCCGCAGACGGGTTCGTGTTCGTGGTCGGCTGCGACCGCGGACGGGTACTCTACGTCTCCAAGTCTGTGGAAAACGTGCTAGACTACACGCAGGACGACTTAATCGGCCAGAGCCTGTTCGACATCCTTCACCCGCGCGATGTTGGCAAGGTAAAAGAACAGCTGGCCTCGTCCGACCTGACGGCCCGCAGTCAGCTGATCGACTCCAAGACGCTGCTGCCGATCCCCACCAGTGTTTCCAGCGAGTCCAACAGCCTGTGTCCCGGCTCGATGCGGTCGTTCTTCTGTCGGATGAAGTGCGGGCAGGGCGGCGGCGGTGCGGCTGCCATGGATGAGTCGGACACGGCGGCCGGGCAGCGGCGACAGCGGCGATTCTCGGCTGCCGGAGGTAAGACGGTCGCCGGGCTGAAACGGTCGCAGCGTGTCACAAGGTGCGGTGGAGGGGTGGCAGTGGTCACCGGGAGGACTCACTGACCAACACTCAGCCGCCTTGACGAGGTTTTATGGCTTGAGTTAATCGTTAATTACGTTTTGCCTTAACGGTTTCAGTTGAAATGAGGAAACCAACTCAGGAGTTCAGTTCATCTGAAAGAGTCCAGAGAGGATGGGTAGCAATATGTTTTGTTGTAGCTTCATGAGTTTTTTTCTAACTTTTTTTTGCTCCGCCAGACAAGCGGTTCAAGATCGTGCACTGCGCCGGCTACCTGAAGGCGTGGGTGCCCTCCTCGGGAGACGTGGAGAAGGAGCCGGATGAGGAGGGCTGCAACCTCTCCTGTCTGGTGAGTCGGGGCGGCTTGGACATATTGCTCATTTATGATTCCTGGACGCAAACAGTACGAGTGTCTGCGATGAAGTATGCCTATATTCGTGACAGCAGTGCACGCTATTATTCACTTTTTGTTTCATTGCTGCGGTACCTAGTAAACAATTGAATGACGTGTCCCGGCAGCGTCCAGGACGTGCCCAGGCAGGTCTTGCCCTTCCGTTTGATCCCGTGCAATAGATCCGCCCTACCGTGACACTACCTATCCGTTCTGCACCGTCAGGTGGCCATCGGCCGGCTGTACTCTCAGATGGTAACGGCACCGTTTGACGCCGCCAACACGCGGCCGCTCGAGTTCTTCTCGCGGCACACCACCGACGGAAAGTTCCTCTACGCCGACCAAAGGTGAGCTACACAGCCGCGGATAGTGGCTCGGGAGCATGACAGAGGGGCTTTGGATCGAGATCGGCAGTATATTCAAATATTTCCATCTTTTTTACGTTGTGTATAGCTGGAGGTTTTTGGATCAAGCTTGCAAATTGCGTCTCGCTCTTCCCATTGAAATATTCGGCATAGTTTTCGTTCGCAACTCACAACTCAATATGTTGCGAGCTGCGAACGAAAATTATGCCATGTATTCCAATGAAAATTGAGATTACCGAAACGTGATTTGCACGCGTGGAAGCTGTGTATATACCAGCCTTTACCCTTTTCCTCACATAACCTTCCCGAGAGAATTGAACGGGAGAATGTTCACTGCGGTGACTATCGTCCTCTCTGGCTGTGGGAAAAAAACAACCTGTTCCGCATATTAATTCATAGATCCTTTCATTAGTTGATATTTCCGAAGGTACGATCTGTCTTCATTTCCTCTGGAAACTAGAGACCATCGTTTGTTTGATGTCGCGAGAGCGTTGCACATCCCACTAGTTACCTGATACGGCTAACATTCTGAGTACGCTTCGATAAAGGAGAATGTCACTTTCATCACTGGGGTCTGATTCAGCGAGAGTCGCTCTGCAATGAATTACCAGCTGTTTGACGTCATCCGTTGTTGATCACCACGTCACGTCGCGACTAAGCAGACAATATGGCAATGGCCATCAATGCTGACTAGACTACATACTCAATAACGCGAGCTTTGGCGAGCGACACGACGGAGCTCTAGCGCGTAATGCGAACCCGTTTTGAGAGCAACTCACCCGTAATTAACTTACATGCTAAGCCAATAGGTGTATGATGTCATTCCTTCTTCTGTAAGCCCCGTAGAGGAGCCTGCCTGCACGTCATCGGCTACATTCCTGACAAAGTGGCGCAGTCGATGTGACTGGTTGGAGTAAGCGGAAGCAACAGATGACTAAAATAGACACCTTCTCCGCCTTGAAGGCGACACTGACTGGCTGACACGTGATACTTTGTGACATCGGTCGTCGGCCGCCTCTCTCACTCTACCCTCATATATCTCTCTCTCTCTCTCTCTCTCTCTCTCTCTCTCTCTCTCTCTCTCTCTCTCTCTCTCTCTCTCTCTCTCTCTCTCTCTCTCTCTCTCTCTCTCTCTCTCTCTCTCTCTCTCCCGGAGCTTACCTACCTTTCTGACTCCCCCAGGGTGACTCTGGCGCTGGGCTACCTGCCCCACGAGCTGGTCGGTACCAGTATATACGAGCTGTGTCATCCGGACGACATCGCTCGTATAGCCAAGACGCACCGCCACTGCCTGCAGTCGCCGGCCGACGAGACGCAGGTCAGGGCCGTAGTGAGGGTAACTGAAGGTCAGAGAGGTCACACCACAGGTCAGAGCAGGTACACGGGATCTGAAAGCATCACATGTGACCATGGGTCATTGAAGGAGCACGCTGATATGAACATTTCATGATACACCTGCGTACCGTGCATAGAAGTACTCTATCTTGAAAAAAAAAATCTTTCAGACTCTTGCGATGGTCTTCTCTGTAGTCCACTGCTTTGCCGCATATTGAAACGAAATAAGAAATGACGATCTGTGTTATTTATAGGTATACAAGTTTCGAGTGAAGAACAACTCCTTCGTAACAGTGCGGACGAAGTGGAAAGCGTTCAAAAACCCGTGGACGAAGGAGTTGGAGTATATTTCAGCATCAAATCAAATCATGAACCCGAGGTAAGCGTGCGCTTCTACAATCATATTGCAATGCTTCCGATTTATGCCACAATTATTGATGCGAGGGTCCGACTTTTAACCCTATTAGTGGCAGGCTCCTGGCTACCCCCTATTAGTGGCAGGGGGGGCTGTTTACGACCCCCCCTTGATATCTCGAGATCTACTGGGCCGATTTTCAAAATTCAAACGGCATTCGATTTCGCTCAACGTGATCTACATTTCTAAAAAATAAAAATTAAAAAATGTCAATAGGGGGGGGGCAGAGGGGGGTAAAAACAGGCAAATTGCAGATACATTTTAGACTGTTTATCACGGCCAGGTTTCTGAACCAATCTTAACGCAACTTTTGCCGATCGATAGAGAATGAACCAGGAATTCACATGGATCCTAAAAATATGCATTTTCAAAAATCATAGGCGGATACAGATCATTGAGATTGGGGGTACACAAAAAGTATAGTAAATAAGGTTTTTGTTGGTACTGTTTCTAAAAAGGGTGGTAATGGTCTTGTTATGTTATAATTTTCTTATGAGAGAACGACTAAAATTGTATTGGTAATGCATAGGCGGTGTCAGGGCACCTATGTTGGGAGGTAAAACATAACCCCCCTTTTTGGACGCCTGGATCCGCCTATTATAGCAAAAACGTGTCAAAAGAGGATGCACAATAACTGTATATGTTATCACATGATACCTTTTATTCACTGTTCGTAAAACTGGTGCAGCATCGTGATCTTCGCCCAAATGACTCACTTCACGAATAGGACCCCCCAATTCCCAGTGCTCTGGAGCCGCCCCTGGTAAAGTTGTGAACTTGAAATTTTCAGGGAATGTGCCCAATTTAGTTTTGGGAAAAGTCAGAAAATTTCAGCATCGTAGCTTCAGCGGTTTCGGAGATATTCCCGAAAAACCTGAGGGGTGGATAAAAACAACCCCCCCCTGCCACTAATAGGGTTAATGGATGTTCATGGCTCACATGTTTGCTCTTGCCCATCGCTCCGACCTGACCTGGTCTGACCCTGTCCGCAGTCCGTCTCGGCCTGGCGGCTCCCGCAGTTCACGGGACCCCGTCCAGGACGATCTGCTGCGCGGATTCTCCCCTCTGAACCTGGACGGCTCCGAAACAGGTTCGTGACGCAGTCAAAGTTAGCTGCTCACGTCATGGGCATAAAGTACGGGAGGAGGAAGTGACGTTCCGTGTCGACATGAATCGTAATGCTACCGCAGAATGAGCGAGTTGTGCTGCCATTGCACAGTTTCTTCATGTGTGATGTGCTATGGAAGCTGCACATTGATTTAAAACTATTACATATTTTGCTTAACGTCGTGTATTTTTTATGTTGCGTTTTCAGGTGGCTCAATATCGGGGGAGACGGCTTACAAGTTTGATAGCATCAGCGCGAGCAAGATCGGACGGCGGATTGCGGACGAGGTACGGTCTGAAGTCAGTGGCGTGTTGTCGAATTACAATTCGTACCGACGGACCGTGCTATATTTGACAATAGTGACACTATCGAGCCTTTGAGAGTTGACACCTCCGACTTGATAACAGCTTTGGGGAACTTCAGCAGAAGAATGTCGGTTCTTGATGAATGCTTGTTTTCAATTGTTAGTCCTTCTGGTGCCCATTTCCTTATTTCTAATGATACGGTGGGATTGTCACAGGACAGGCTGCAAATCGGATGTCTTTCCCTCCTTTCCTGTTTCTCCTCTCTTCCTCCGTCCCTCTCTCTGTTCTAACCATCCATCTTCTCTTTGCCAGGTGCTGGACAGTAGTCGGCGGCCGTCTCCCTCCCTGACCTCCGCCAGCCCCGCCTCGAACGTCGAAACGCTGCTGGAGAACATCAGGGAAAACTCCAACTCGGGTTCGACGCTCTTCGACACCGTAAGCCGGGTCTGGCTCGCACTTTTCTTCTTTTCTACTTAGTTCATAGATTCTGGTGCTTACGTAAGCATCGTGCTTAAGTTCTGCACTCCGTATCCAACTTATATTTTTACTTGGTAACTAGCTGCATACTCCACCGTGGCACATCTTTGATTTGCATCTCATTGCTATGCTAATCATACCATAAATATCTGGATTTCGTTTTAACTGTTGTGACCATCGTGGTGTAGGCCAAAGTAACTTCCTGTGTACTTCCGATTTAGTGCTTTACGTACGACTCATTCCTTTTTTTTAGTTGCATAGCAATTAGTTCAGTGTTTTGTACACTTCAGCAGCAGTTGGTCATTGTTTTTCTTCAACAGTTTGCTGACATCACAATTTGACATTTTGCTCTGTTGAGTTGTACTGAGCCAGCGATGTCTGACAGCTCCCGACCCCGTCTGACCTCACTGTCCGTGTGCCGGCAGGACGACGAGCTGCTGAGCAGCCAGCAGCTGCTGACGGAGGTGATGCAGGACCGCGACCCCGCCTCGGAGGAGGGCGCCGGCGGAGGCGTGTCGCCGGCCGGCCGGCCTCCCCCTCCCCCGCCGCAGCCGCTGCCGCCTGCGCTGCACGGCCGGAACGGGCTGCCGGGCCCGGCCGAGGCGGCGCAGAGTCCGGCGGCCGCGGACGCGCAGGAGGACGAGGCAGCCATGGCCGTCATCATGTCACTGCTGGAGGCGGACGCCGGTCTCGGCGGACCGGTCGACTTCACCGGACTGCCCTGGCCGCTGCCCTAGACGGAGTGGAGGGTGGCGGTCGACCGAGCTGCGCTGGCGACAGAGGGTCAGTCCACAGCGGCCCAGCTGCCCCGGCGGTGAGCGCGCTAGTTGTTGCATTGTGACGGCATTACCACGTGACGTTACCTGCCCGTGAGTCACTGCAGTTACACCACGGTGCCAGGGCCAGCGCTCTGGAGTCTGGCACTCAATCACTCAGGCGGCAAACGACAATCAAATGGCCCGTCCGTCGGTCGCCGGTAGACTGTGGAGCCGCACGCGCAGATTATTATTATGAGCTCGTGGAGGGTTCGGGCGATGACCTCATCTGGCGTCCCCCGCAGTCCTGGGTTATTGCCAGCAGGGCCCGGGGAGGTATTGTTGTCTTTCGATAGGCATGTGTCGTGTGCTAGCGGTGTGATTGTGCGCGCAGTGACGGAGGATAGCGCCCGGTCTGGTTAGTGGGAGCGTATCGGTTATGGTTTAGGTCCGCGTAGTGATGTTTGGTGGCATTCGGGGGATGGTGCCGTCAGTCCAATCGTGATCAGAGTATTTATTGAGCAGCTTTTAGGGGAGCACCATCTCATTTTATGATGAGTCACTTTATTTTGGTCAGATTACCGAAACAAAGGTGCAGTGAACCCGACGCCAAATTGCTATCCAATTTGCGACAGGAAGCTGCATAGCAGTTTTTACGGGATTAAATATATCGTCCTTTTGAAAAAAAGGAATCAAATATGTATTGAGATATTGTAGTGCATATTTGTTACTGCTTATCCATATGCGGGACGCATGCATACTCCGCTTCAATTATTCGGTCTTCTAATTAAGCAGCCTTTTATTGTGCTGCCATTTTAGTCAACTTTTCTTCTTTGTTTTGATATTTCGCCGCCAAGTCGCAAACAGGTTTAGATAATCCGTAAAACAAATCGAGTATATGGGGAGAACGTGCTATATTTATCTGTACCACACATGGTCATAGGCAATCGATTCTAGCGTCTTTAATCGTATGTGAAACATAAGATACTTTATACCTGTCGGCACCGTTTCGGCTATTCGTGGAAAGTTTGTCGCCATTCGATAGACATGGACTGGTCATAGTCCATCATTTTGAGGAAGTGATACGATAGGATCCGCCGGCCGTTTCGCCTGGTCCTCTACTGGAACGGCGTGATCGCAGGGCCCGGGGCCCGATGAAAGGGATCGTTGCCAGAGTCGCTGTCAACTTGAAAGACTTCACGCTCTGAGGGGAAAGGTGCGCAAAGAAATTGAAAATGCCAAAACTAAATGGTACCAAAGACATATGAGAAGAATTCTAGAAAATGGACAAGGTTCTTGGTACCAACAGGTTACGATCCTAACAAATCGTCAGCCAAAGCCATGGCGCCTTGGAGCGGAAACGTCGGATGCTCCAACAGCGGACCACATCAATGACTTCTTCGCAAATATTTGCACAACCTATGGACCGCTGGATGCTTCACAACTACCGTCATACTTACCGGCGAACCGAAGTGCAATGGACCTGCAGCCATGGCAAGTGGCCTATCATTTGGCCCATCTCCGGGTTAATATGTCGGTCTCACCATGTCAACTACCAGTACGACTTCTCAAGGAGTTCTCTGTTGAACTAGCCGTCCCACTCACTCACATTTACAACTGGTCGATACGAGAGGGTCACGTTCCACTGATATGGAGAAAAGCAACTGTTACCCCTGTGCCCAAGAAGCCCTGTCCCGTGGCACCTGGTGAACTTAGACCCATTAGTCTAACACCCACATTTAGCAAAGTGCTGGAAAAAATAGTTGTACCGTTAATTGCGGCGGACATTAGACCTGCGATAGATCAGTATCAGTATGGTAACATCAAAGGAGCCTCAACCTCTCATTATCTCATTCGTTTGCTTCATAACCTACTCACTGAACTGGAAAAACAAGGTACGCTGTTTTCCATGGTTATGTTTGATTTCAAGAAGGGCTTTGACCTTGTTGACCACACTATACTGATGCAGAAACTGATTTCGATGGGACTCAGGGCTGAATACACCAAGTGGGTCTCCTCCTTTCTATCAGACCGGCAACAGCGCGTAAAGATGCCGGATGGTTCCTTGAGTGGGTGGAAGAAAATAACATGTGGTACGCCCCAAGGAACATTGCTCGGGCCTATCGCATTTTTAGCCATGATTAATGATGCTGCAAGAAACACGCAAAAGAGATTGAAGTACGTTGATGATTTGACCATCTTTCAGTCGTGCTCAATCGACAGTATAGATGAAACGAGCACCTTACAACTTGTGACAAACGACATACACCAATGGGCAAACAAAAACAAGATGGTTATCAACACCGATAAGTGTCATGTGATGCACTTCTGCACAGCAAAGAAACCCATGATCTTACCGGACATCACGATAAATGGTGACAGCATACCAATCTGCAGTACAGCCAAACTTTTAGGTGTAAATATATCAAATAATTTGACGTGGGAAGAACACGTCAAAAATGTTGTGGCGCGCGCATCTAAGGCTTTATATATGCTCTACATCTTGAGACGATACAAACCACCTGAAGACCAATTGGTTAAAGTCTACACGACCTATATTAGACCGCTCTTAGAGTATTGTACACCAGTCTTCCATGCGGGTATTACTGCTTCTCAAGCTAAACAAATCGAGAGCGTGCAAAAACGGGCCCTAAAAATTATTGCAGGTTTTCAACATAGTTACCAGGATCTACTACAGAGGTTTGAAATGGATAGTCTTGCAGACAGGAGACAGAAGATGTCCCTCCGACAGGCGAGGCAATTGCTAAAAAATGAGGCTCACCGAGAAATGCTGCCACCTACGAGAGCAGATGTAAGCGGACGGAACACTCGCAACATGGATATGCTGCAGCCCTTCTGCTGCAGTGCTCGCTTAAGAAAATCAGCAATCCCGTACATGACCTCACTCCTCAATGAAGACATGTGTATGGAACTGTAGAACGTGTTTGGTGTTTGCGCGTTTTGTACTGCATGGAACATGTGCTGTATGAGAGAATCCTCAAAGCCATGTACTGAAAATATACCGTCTCTCTCTCTCTCTCTCTCTCATGCCATTGCTCAGCTGGGGCGGTACGTAGTCTGTAGTTCAAACTCGGGCGGGTGCTCGCGCTTTCATTGTAGTGCAGTGTCCGCGGTGGCCAGGGCCTCGGACGGCAGTTCCGTGTATTGGTTCCAGTGGTCCGTCCTCACGGACAAATCCGGCTCATCGGAGCACCTCAGCCAGTCGTCGGGCAACCAACCAGATTCTATTTTTGCCGGCAGCTGGGAAAACGCCACATGTGATCGCTCCGTGCTCAGAAAGTCAATCTTCCCAGGTTCGCGGGCTGAGCTCAGACTGGTAGGCCTCGGTGCGGGTCGGAGGGCATTGCCACCGGAACTTTGACGCGGGTCGGCACGGATAGCGGCCTGACTAGGAGTTCCCCTCCGAGTTTCGGAAGGGACGCGCTGTGTCTCTTCAGACGGGTTCCGAAACGGGGTAAGACATGTGGACCTCCCTAATACATTCATAGACGGGTGTTACTGTACACCCTTTCAGAGATGGGTGTCAAACTCGTCACAAGCTATATCAAACCGGCTGGGACGGCGTTGTGTTCGAGGGAGCACCGCCGGACTCGCAGAGCTGACTCAATAGATAGATTTACGGTGGTAGCTAGGTGAAGCGAATCGTCACTACGGGGACTGCTGTGGCAGTGACAAGAGACTGTCTCCGCGGGCCCGTGCAGCCACTGTTGTTTGTAAACAGATCAATCCAGTGTGGGGAGGGTGACGCGGGGTAGCGCCGACCGGTGTCGGGCAGCTGGGGATATGAGCGGACGAGTGGCCGGGGTGTCTATACCAACGTACCTGCCGGTGGCGAGTGCCGAGCCGACTGTGAGAGTCGTGGGCGCGCCACAGAGGGTTCCACGCTCGCAGCTGGCCGCGCGGCAGTGACACAGCGCGACGTATATTTTATCTTGTTATCATCCGATCGATGTCCATGTACTCTGCGTTGATACTGGCGGGGCGGCCACCGTGCAATGTATGTATGTCTGTCTGTGTCGTACACACGCCATGTTAATCGTACCGGTCGCTGTTGGCTGTTCATGTGCGCATTTTGAGCTAGCCATGGTCAGTGGAGTGTGCAATATTTTGTCGCATTTGGTTGATGTCTGCGCGCCTGCCGGGACGGGTGCGCGCTCGGCGCCCCCGCGCGTGCTCGCCAGTCGTTTCCACGGGTGGGTGGGCTCCTCTGATCCGGGTGCTCCTCTTAGTATGCTAATTTCCTGTCATTTTTTTTCCAACCACCAGCTACCGAACCAACCTGGTGCTTCAACTTCCTCTCCTTCAGCTCTGACTGGTCAGATCCAGGGAGTCCGGGAGGCAGTGTCGACTCCGACGTCCTGGCCAAGACCCAAGTCCGGCGCACCAAGTAAGCATTGGCCTTTCCCGCCGTCTGTTCCCTGAATCTCTCTCAATCTCTTACTTTGCCCTGGTCCTAGCCCTACTTAAGGCATTTGGTCCCACTTATCACCCCTCCCGCTGCCCCGTCCACCACTCCTTCCAAACGTCCCCAATGTCGCATCCAGCTGATCGTTTTCCCGAGTGCCCTGTCGATGTACATTTGTGACAACTGACATCTGTCTCGAATGAGCCATGGACAGGCTGTTTCTTATCTATTCCTGTCCTTTTCAGCAACTACCGTTGTGAACCAGCCTAAACGATTTCGCCTCTGCTTCCGCCCTTTTGATGACCTGGCGCCTTCGTTCAATTATTTCAAGCTGGTACTGGATTCCACCTCCTCGCGCCTCTGATACGAACACATACACCTTCATACCAAACTATCCAATACCGTACAGACTATCCATAAGATTGCCTTGTCGGGTTCGATGCTGCGTACCGTTATCCGGCCGTCCGGTCCTCTCCGGGTAATCTGACCTGTCTCCGGAGGAGTCGCTGACCTGGTGACTAGACCTGGGGGAGGGGACTGGAGCGCGGCACGACACTTGCCGGTAGGGCGTGAGCTGTGGTCGGGAGGCCAATATACGTGCCATGCTGTGTGCAGAGAGCGGCTGTGTTTGGTTGGTGGCGCTGCGGTCGCGGAGTGAACCGTCGACCTTGTCCGTACGAGGAAACACTTTCAAAGCCGGAGATTCACTTACACTCAGCACACCACGGCCCTCACAAAGCTTATGACAGCTTTCAAAACCTTGACCGCGACACGAACAACTTTGTATTGCAATATCTCTTATTTGTCGCTCAGCTTTTGCCATACCGGAACAAACACGTAGCATCGATGTCATGCTACATCGTGTGGCAGCAACAGCATCGAAACAAGTCCCCTTCCCGGTTCCATACACGTTCTAAACACATAGCAAGGCACTGATCTCCCACATTTGAAAAACACTCTGTAACAGCACCGGCAGTTACCGCAACATTCCACTGATGCTACCGTTGAGGTCTGCTTGCTCCTTCCTCTTCTTTTTCTTTTTGAGGCTGCTGGTGGGCGGTACTGGGTCGGCCAGATAGAGCTCCTCTACCACAGGTTCTGGTTCCGGCTCGCTCCGGTGTCGCTTCTTCGCCTTCCGCGGGGACGCCTCCTCCCCATTCACCTGGTCATCATCCTCCCGCCGCCGTTTCTTCGATTTTCTCCGCGCTGGCTCCTCCTCCGCTGGCGCTGGCTCCTCCGCCACCGGTGGCTCCTCGCCCTCAGCCTCCTCGCGGTCACGGCGGCGCTTCTTGTGCTTGCGGCTGTGTGGCGTTTCGGCAGACTCGGCCGGACTGCGACCCAGAGAGCCGTCCTCGATCGACGACAGGCCAGAGTCGGGCTCGGCCGACTCCGAGTCGAACCGCACGTGCGACGAGCTGCCCGACGGCAAACTGCCGGGAGAAAGGGGAGGGTCAGCACTCAGCGGAACAGATGGTGGCACCAGGCGGTGGCTTTCGTGGACAGGCCAGGGCGGTTTGACAATACGACGCTATTGACTCAATATTTCGTATTTTGACTTTTTTTTGTACGCTTCACGCCACAAGAGTACGATGGAAATCAGCATGTGAATTGAATACAACTTGCCTGTCATCATTCAGGATGCCCTTGACGAACGGTATCTGTGAGAGAAGGTCGATCTTCTCAATCGTGAATGATATCTCGTCGTGGATCTGTATCTTGTGCAGGGAGCGTTTCATATGCGCAGGCAGGACCACGAACACGGTGAAGACCTTGTTGGTCAGGCAGGTGACGCTCGAGCTGGACTTTTTCAGAACCGTTCCTGAAACAATGCGATCGATGATGTCAGCAGGACGAGACTGATCAACACATACGCAGCTACTCCACATAAACGGTGATTATTGCTTTTACAAAATTGTGAGACGTGCATTGACGTAAGTTAACAGAGGACTTTTTATCTGAGGTTCACAGTTCAGTTGACATTCAGCAATTATGCAACATCGGGGGCTGTACTCGTAATTATATATTTTGCAGATATTATCATGAAGGAGAGCGGCCTGTGGGTGAATAAAAATAATTGACTGGAGCTCCTATTCCAGATTAACACCGTCTGGGGTCAATTACAATAGCTCACAACACAGGCAAGCTTTGTGAAGCAATGACCTCAGTCAAAGTGTCGGTCGGTCGTCTCTCCCTAGACCGTCGCTCGAGCAGCGTTGGACAGCGGCTCTTACCGGTGAGTGTTCCGCCGATTACCGGCTTGAAGACGTAAAAGTCTGCCCGGATGTTGATATGGATGTGGTGGTAGCCGGGGATCATGTGGCCTTTGCTCCCCAGCATGGCCAGGTTCTCGTACCCAACCATAATGCCATTCAGCCTGCGAACACATGGTCAGGTCTCAGTTGGTGTACATGCTGAAGATTCTTGCAATCATTCTTCAAAGTCCCCTGATCATATATGCACAAAAGCTGCCTGGAAGGGGAAAATCATGAGGATTTGGTTCAATTATTAACACGCGCACTGCAGCGGGTCTGAGCCGAACACGAACTGCAGGGGGGGGGGGGTTGAAAACAACCCCCCCTGAGATCTCGAAAACGGCGCAACGTAGCGACAAGCGGTAAACGGCGTTGGATAGGTTGAGATGAGATCTACAAGAAATACTAAGATCATTTTTGGGTCAGGTCAAAAACGAGGTCACCAGAGGTCACCGAAGACAAAATGTTACGATTTTCACAACAGGAATTTCGCGGTAGTTTTTCTTGAATAACTTGTCTTGCACACAAGACAGAGGATCGATTCGAACGCCATCGTTCTTAGCTCGTCAAGGCGCATCGAATGATATATAATATGACCTCGAAAGGTCAAGTTGAAAATTTGACCTCAGGTCAAGGTCATGACCTGACCGAAATAGGTCATGTTGCATATCATTCGATCCGCATTGACGAGAAAAACACGATAAACGTCGAACGGAGTCTCTATCTCTATTCAATCTCAAGTTATTGAAGAAAAACCGCTGGTGACCTCAGGTGACCTAAGATGACCTGGAGATCACCTTCCAAAGGTCATAAGTGATATGTTTCGGTGAAATCACCAACAGGGACCTGTAATACTATGATCCTGAGCGTATTGAAGTCATAGGATGGCATTCAGAGTAAGTTGAAATTTCTCCCATTGACTTATAATGGGCCGGTCGCAAAAATGACCTGACCTTAGGTCATCGATATAAAAATTCCGAGATATACAAGTTGTAGCTCGTGATGACTTTACTATTTCCTGTGGGTTTCAAGATCATATCTCAACAACTGTGGGCTTGGTGGGATTGCAAACTTCGAAATTTACGTTTCGAGGTAGGGTCACTTGACCTGACCTGGTGACCTGACCATAGGTCACCTGGGGTCAAAATTTTTACTCAAGGTGTGCAAAAGTTGGGAGAACAGGTATGCAAAATTTGGCGGCGCTACGCGCCGCCGTTTTCTCGCGATTTGCGAAAAACCACAGGGGGGGGGTTGAAAACAACCCCCCCCTGCAGTGCGCGTGTTTTAAAATAGGTATGCAATGTGCATTCAATTCTGGTTACAATTACCATGGATACAAATCTTCAGTTCATGGGTCAACTGTTCCAGTTCATGAACTATCTATATCTATCTTTTTCACAAGAATGGTGCCATTCTTAGCTTCAAAGCACTACAAAACTCCCTCCTCGACTCCCATCCAACACCTCCACAGCTCACAACTCCAACCACATCAATAGTTTTCACTGATTGCCTATCTGAGAACAGCGACAAGGCCAATGGGTAAAATACACCATTTAAATACATACCAAGTTATTATTGTTTTTAGTGGTCAAAGGAAAGATCCAGGGAAAACTAACACAACTGTTCAAGTTTTAGTAATTGTATGTCATATCCTCTAGCAACTGGCCACATGAATAGTTTAGAATCAAATTTTGTATTTAATTTTTGAGTTTTGGTACCCAGTGATGATTGACATTACAAATTGCAACTTTATTTTCATAAATAAAAGAGGTTCAAAGAAATGCTTCAATGAGGTGGTAATTAATATTATTTTCAAAGCCTAATATTACCTGAAAAAAACTTCATTTGACCACACATGCTTCCTACTAATAGAAATTGCAATTAATCATTCCACTTTTGACCAGAGCCTGGCTAGTCAGAATCCTATATATGTACAAGTATCATCACTTGACAAGACCAGTGGGTTTTCACACACAACACCATCCTTTTGGCATAAACGTGAGCGCACACTCATTTATCACTAGATTACATCACGTTAACAATGAAGGTATCACAAAATACTATCTTCACTCCATGCCTCATTATTAGCTATGATTTGAGTCAAACGCACATTTACATCCAAGTAAATTAACTAATAACTGCCTAATCAAATGCATAACATACTTACTGAGGAACGTATTTCGGAAGCATGCTGTTTAAGTTGTCAACAATTCCTGATCTCAGTTTTCCCAGCATACTTGGTAGCAGTCCAATGTGCATTGTATCAGTAATCTTCTCAATAAATGTGCCCTTTTTGCCAGCCAGTTCACGAAGAAAAGGGATATTACTTTCATTGTTGACCGGGCACGGGACTGACTCAATCTTCGGCACTTTTGCTGTGTTTTGACGATCAAAGCTCATGTTTCTATGGTCCCAATGGATAAAGCAATAACAAATAGATAAAAGCAGAATTTGCTTCAGTTATCACAAAGAACGAGATGTCATAACCGATAATAATAGAACATTTCCTGAGTTCACGCGATCACGATCCCAGCCAAAGCTTCCCACATGTTTCTCTTCGCTTCATAAACGAATGAACTGCGCCATATATGCCCCAAAACCACTAAAACGCAGACCATTCGAGCGCAATAATATTTGTTTTGTGTCCAACGCTGCTTAGTGCTTAGTCTACCATACACTGTTTCTCTGGGAAATAAAAGCACGATTGAAATTCGTAAAGGCACAGTGAAGCAGGCATAGCCTGTCCCGTAGCTCAGTTGGTAGAGCATTGGACTCCCGGTAGTGAGAGCCCGGGTTCGAGACGCTCCGGCGCTCGATATTTGAGACTACTGACGGGGATGGTCTGCGGTTGGTGTTAGCAGCCGCAGCCAGTTGAAGTCAGTTGAGTGGGACAGGCCGTGTCCGACTTTGAAGGGCACGTTAAACTTTGGCATCTAAATTCTCCCGTTACCCTGAATTGCGCGGTCGGACGGTAGGGGTCGGAGTCTACGCAACAAGCTCTGCTTAGCGTGGGTTCCGGCTTCGTCAATCCGTCCATTCAAACATTCGAGCTAAATTTATAAAAAAAGCACTGTAACAATATCTGATGTTGAAAACATAGGCGGCGGAACGATTTGGGACGGGGGGCGGGGGGGGGGGCACCTTGGATTCCCAATTTATAGTTTTTTACCTATGTACAGTCCTACACTTCATATCACTCGCTCGCCTGGACTGAAGCATACCAGTGATCTCCAGATAAACATAAATAAAATTGTTTTTTGTCAGTTGCTCATTTCTTCCATGCACAGCCATAAGTCTAATTCGAAACTGTGTCAGAGATGGCATGCCCCCATGCCTCATTCGCACGTTCTTGTAAGAATGTGTAAG